AATAAATAATATCGATAACAAATTCGTAATACTTACAAAGTCGCGAGCTTCTTCCTGATTTCGTCCGTTTGCCGGAGGACGCTCAGTTTCCCTCGTAGGAAGTTCCAATAGAAACGATAAGATGAATAAGAAAAAATTAAACATGTTGACTTTTTCGTTAAGTTATACTCAATGTCGAACAAGTAATGAACAGGAATCTAGGGAGCACAATGTTTTATAGACAGGTAGAAGGGAAAGGAAATAAAGAGTTCAATAGTCACAAGTCGATAAGAAGATTCGCGTTTCAAAAAGAATGTGGAAACTGATATTAATACAGTCTGGACACTATCATATCTACACTACGCTATGCGAGAATATATTACGTTAGTCTCAACAATTAAAAATAGATTTCTATTATAGGATTCAATTATTGATATGTTCATGAGGAAGATAAAACGAGTCATGATAATTATCGCAATAATATTCATACCAAAATCACAATCAATAATAGGATATGATTGTAAAGTAAATAATCTGAATATCACAACAGTCTCATTATTACAAGTTGGAACATGTGATTTACCAATTAACAAACCAATTGTGGAAAACGTCGAAATACAGCTGTTACAACTAACAGATTTTATGTCAACGGAAGTATTGCAATGTAAAATCGAAATTGATCGAACAATTTATTACTGCGGAATGTATTCGCATATTTCGGTCGTGAACAATGAGAGAAGAGAATATGTTCAGGAAACAACTAAAGAGCAATGTCAAAAAATTCATAATACAAGAACCATACAAATGACGCTAGGAAACATTATTGTTAGATTACCAATGAATGCTACATCAGATTATCCAATAACTCTCGCAGGGAAAATAGGAAATGATGGAAGTTGTAAAGGAGTACAGTATTCAGATCCTTATGGCTCATGGTCAGATGTAATTGTTCAAGCAAATGTCAAAATTTCAGTATACAATTTTAACGCAGTAGTTCATTTAAACGAAAATCGAATCAGCATGCCTTCAGGGTTAACATGTCACCTGAATGAAGGATCCTGTATGGATTTCGATAAAGGAAATTCATTTTGGACAACATCACCCAATTTATTACTGCGGAATGTATTCGCATATTTCGGTCGTGAACAATGGGAGAAGAGAATATATTCAAGAAACAACTAAAGAGCAATGTCAAAAAATTCATAATACAAGAACCATACAAATGACGCTAGGAAACATTATTGTTGGATTACCAATGAATGCTACATCAGATTATCCAATACCTCTTGCAGGGAAAATAGGAAATGATGGAAGTTGTAAAGGAGTACAGTATTCAGATCCTTATGGCTCATGGTCAGATGTAATTGTTCAAGCAAATGTCAAAATTTCAGTATACAATTTTAACGCAGTAGTTCATTTAAACGAAAATCGAATCAGCATGCCTTCACCCTCACATATACAGGAAAACAACTCAGCAATTAAAAGGTCATCACGAGAGATTTATATGTTGGACCATGGATCATTTACATTCGCTTTAGCAAAGAAAAGAGAGCGGAAAATTTGTGGATATACCGTAATTGAAACAGAACATCCAAAGCTGTTCATTCTAGAAACCAGGAAGGATGGAACTTTTGCAAGAAAGGGACCACTAGACACGAATAATCTGGATTTTGTCACGTACGTAAACTCTAAGTTCATTTTTATGGAAAAACATATGAATCAACAATTTTCTACTCTGTATCACGATATATTGGTACAACGATGTCTCTTACAACGACAAGTTTTAGAAAATGCATTAATGCTTGGAATAACTTCACCAGACGAATTTGCAAATACTATTATGAAAAAACCAGGATATATGACAGTCTCAGGAGGAGAAATAATATTTTTGATTAAATACATACCTGTCGAAGTAAAAATTAGACGAACTGAAAGATGTTATCAACAGTTGCCAGTTTATAAAGGAAACGATTCATATTTTATTACACCAAGAACTCATATGTTAATAAGAACAGGAACAGAGATTGACTGTAATGACATAGTAGCACCTATGTATTATATTCATAATATTTGGTATAAATTTACTCCAAATCCACAAAGAGCTATTGAACCAATGATCCTAAAACCAGATACAGAACCCACTTGGGAATATCAGAGTATTGACGTAGGTTCAAGCGGAATTTATTCAGATCAGGAAATGGAAAAATTAAGAAAACATATAATGTTTCCTGCTGAGAAACCTGCAGTCTTGAGTAACGTAGCTCGAGGAGTTACAGGACAAACTATGGAAAAACAAGGAATGTCAATATCTTATCTTTTAGACGAAGAAACAATAAATACTATTGTCAAGGATACATGGAAGAAAACTTGGGGATGGTTTACCGGGTTTGGAACATTTAGTGCAGGATTGTTAGGAATCTGGATGATAGTGAAATTTCTAAAGTTTGTTGTAGATACTATACTACATGGAATAGCTCTACATACAATACATGGATGGAGTCTATGGTTAATTGGAGCAATTTGGGACTCTTTAACCAGCTTCCTATTACATTTGGGACAACGCAGATACACAGATGGTATGACAGGATCAACAGCGGATACCAAAATCCCAGATGAAAACGAGAAAGGGAATCTGGAAGTAGGACCACCATCAGCACCTCAATTTAATTCAATGGAACAACGATCGTCAAATCAAACACAACCACAAACACAAACACAAACAAATGTATTATATCCGAGTTTGAAAAACGAATCAGGGAAACAACCAAATGAACAACCTAAGGTCATATATGTTCATATGGACGAAAACTAAGCAAATTGCATAGTTTCCGTTCTAAAGGGGGGAGGTGTTACGTTCCACTCCTTATAATTATAAATGGCAAAACACATTAATTTCTTCTACACATTATAATCATTTAATCATATAATAATTAATATAAAATATTATTAACGTTACACTAATAATATTAAATATTGCATTTTACCTTGTTAAAATTGAACAATGATAAATAAACGGATAGGCCTGAATCTTCTCGGATGACATTCAAGGAGATTCAAATAACGGAGTACGACTTGGTATATTGATTATCGGAAAAGGGTTAGCTATCAATCGATATATTAAGAATGTTGAAGAAGGGGAGTCACATTGACCAATCAGAAGTAGTTTTACTACTATAAAAAGGGAGCCAGAAGTAGCATTAGGTGTGTTTTAGGAAGAGACTAAGAGTGCAACATCAGAGTTGTCGGGTGTGTCGTGAGTGAAGTCAAAAATACCAAGTACCTCTAAAACTTATCCAAGTTACCAAAATCAGAGTATTCACAATTACTCGTAACCTTCCCGGATAGAACTGAAGCCGTTGTATAGGGCCTCTATCCATCCTTACTATTTCTAAAAAGGTAGAACTGAAGCCGGATCTAGGGCCTCTACCTTATCCTACCAAATCATTAATACAAATCGAAACTTCGATCAACATTCCATACATCATCAGAACTTGGATAGGACTGATTCACGCTGAACATCCTAATAGAGATTCGATCGGATACTGAAGGAATTCCAAATATACTTCTTATATAAAATCTGAGTAAGTACAGACTTATGCCTAAACGAAGTGGTAGAAAAGTGCAGTTATGTAAAATATTCAGACAATTAAATAAACCATATACTCAAAAACAAACAAAACCAACGAGCCAAAAGGATCTTGTCGCGACTGAATATCAAGTTAACGAATAAAACAATTCTATTCAATACTTACCGTGGAAATTGATTCCTATAGAATTTTCAAGTCTACCAAAAGATTTACCTACCGAAGAATCACTTAAAAATAGAATATTTCCAGATCCGCGGAGACATATCTTGAGAAATTATCACAACTCCAATTCATAAAATTCGTTAGGCCTTGTATTAACACGTGGACGTGCTGTAAAAGTAGACCGAACCAACGAATCATCACCTCACCACCAAGATAATCCTAACAATGCACTAATCCAACGAAGAATCCGTGATCGAAGGCCTGTAATGAGAATTCGATCGAACGACAGGGTTCAATTGCCCCGATCATGCCGTAATACGTATCCAAATTCCCCGAAATTTCCTGAGAGTCCCTTCCAAACTCAAAATCTTCCTTACGAACACCAATACCGATCATCATTAGTTACTGATCAATCCTCCGGTAGAGCAGTATCCCTTTTAGAGTCTTGAGGTCCACAGGATCATCTGATCCTTGATCAAATAAACTGAGTTCTCTCTCTCTCTCTCTCTCTCTCTCTCTCTCTCTCTCTCTCTCTCTCTCTCTGTCTCTCTCTCTCTCTCTCTCTACGATGAGTACATTTGCTCGGCATGCAAGAAAGCGATCAAGAGCCGAGTCGAGAAGTGTAGGACTTGCCCGAAACGCTTTTTTCACCCGGGATGTACGAGTAAGCACAAAATAGTTGATAAAAATCGCGAAATATTGCAGTGTACAGGCCCCTTCGATAATTTCTTGGTGTCAGAAACAATGTCATTGAAAATGCCGACGATAGCAGGATCCAGTGGAGATCGATTGGGATCGACGGAGTCGATTAGGGGAAGCAAAGTGATAAGTTCAAGCGGACAGGTTGAAGATAAAATTGATTGGTTGGTGAAAACCGTAAAATCGATTAAGGATGAAGCCGTATGCAAAGGCGAAGTTAAGAAGATAATCCAAGAAATAGTTCGAGAGGAGATGGGAAGTGTAAAGCAAGAAATAGAAGAGTTCAAAAGGATGCTATTAGAAAGAGATATTGTAACGCAACAGAGCGTATTTTTATTTTATTTCATTATAGGCACGAACGCAATGTTTTGTTTTGATTAGATAATACCCGATGATGGAATCCGCCGAGTGCGATTGAGCCAAAGGCATTCTGAGGGAAAACAAACCCAAGACCAAAACATTGCGGGTCCCTTTAAACTTTACGCGGGAAGATATTTTAAATCACCCGGAGTAGATAGTATAAGCGGGTCTCATAGATGGGGCAACGCAACAATAGAAAAAATTCAAAGTCGGCATTAACGTACGCTCCGCGAGTATAAAAGCCGAGCGAAATTGCGATAAGATATTCATTCGATCATTACACCTCCTACGGTGAAGCTCGAGACAGAAAAGTTCAGGATTTGAAAGTAATTAAGTAAAGGAGTTCTAATCCTTCCTGAATAGTCTGGACGGGTTCGTTGGAGTCATAGCGCCTCCAAACGATACTTACCAGCTAAAGCGGGGACGAGAGGAACAAAAAGGGTTACGGGCATTAGAAAAACCACCCGACCACCTTGCCTCTCAAGTCTCCTATACCAACTTACCTACAGATACCTCGTCAGCGGGTGGATAGCACCACCGACAGCTGTACAAGGTTTCCTAATCCTAAGGACCACTGAATCACGAGACGACATTGGCGGACAACATTGCGTTGTCACGCCATACTGAATCTCTTCCTTAAAAAGTGTGATTGGTGACCAATATAGCATTGTGAACCATATCTCATCCAAATACCAGGTGACTGTGTGACATTGGCGGGTAGCACTACGCTAGCTTATCGATATGCCCCACAGGGATCATACCAAATACCTATTGAAACGATTCTTGGTAAACCACATAGCGCGGCAAGCTATAGGATCGATTTAATAAATCCTTGATCCACTCTTCCACGAGAGATAAGGATAAAAGATAAAATAGAAGTAGGACGGACACTCGAGCATGACTCAGGGAACCGTAAATAATTAATTGTAATCAGATATACCGTGTCTTTTTAATAAACAAGAAAGAGGTTAAAAAGAATATAAATGGATTGGTTGAATCACACACCCAGAAAAAATCCTATTCGTCCGCCCAGAGCACGAGCTCATTAACGAAAATCCTACGTCCATCACGTGGTGAAACATAAGGATTCACCACAGTGCACTAAAGGTGATACCAGTGCACAACGTGAGGTACGGGGAGTAGGTAACAATATGGATGGAGCAAAAGGGCCAAAAGGTACCTATAGTGAAACAGTGAAGGACAAAAAAAAGGAAAAGATCATAATTATGGAGCCCAGAATGCAGCAGGAGAGTGAAGTGACTAAAAAGACAATAAAAGAAAAGGTGGACATTAAGTCGATGGGAATAGGTGTATCAAAGCTGAAAAAGGGTAGTAAAGGCACCGTGATATTAGGATGTGATACAGGTGGAGAACTAGAGAGTCTCAGGGCAACAGTGCAAGACAAAATGGGCGAGAATTTCATAGTTACGGAGCAGACACGAGCGAAACTGAATCTAAAAATTATTAATATGGAAGAGGATGAATTCGAGTTATCAGATGAGGAATTGATCGACATAATAAAGAAACAGAATGGACTGGAAGAAAATGAAAGAAGAGAAATTAAAATCGTGAAAAGGATAACGAAAGGACGAGTGCTGGGGCAGAATAGCAGAGAAAGAAAGGAAGACACAGCGATTGTAGAAGTGGATGAGCGGATTCATGTGCAGCTGTTGAACACAGGCAAACTTAGCATAGGCTGGAGAAAATGCCCCGTGTTCAATCATGTCAACGTAAGACGATGTTTCAAATGCTGGGGATATTATCACATAGTCAAAAATAGTACGAGAGAGGAAACCTGCTACAAGTGCGCAGGAAAACACAACGCAAGAGAGTGTACATCAAGGCTGAACAAGTGTGTTAACTATATGTTTAAAAACCAAATGTACAATCTAAAGTTGAATACCGAGCATAGTGCACTCGATCCGGAATGTCTTACATTCAAAAGAGCGATGCAAGAGGAGAAGAGAAGAGTAGGATGGACAGAATAGCAACCACAGACGGAATAAGTCATTTGGTACACAGATGCACAAAGTTTATTAGCACATAAGGATGAGATCAGGTACGAGGTAGTAGACAGAATGAAACTTGCAATTATAGCACTATCCGACACACGAGTGAATACTAAAATCGGAGACGAGGAAGTGGGGATACCAGGCTATAGTGTAATCAGATGTGATGCAGAGAACAGAAACATAGGAGGAGTTGTACTATATATCAGAAACGATATTAAATACGAGTTGGTATTAGAAAGCAAAATAGAATCGAACTGTTGGTCTGTGGCAATAGAAATATGTGATCGGCTATACAAAGGAATAGTAATGGTGGTGTATCACTCACCAAGTGCATCAGATGCGGATTTTATAAGGCATTTAGAGGATATAACAGAGGAAATGTCTGTAAAAGGGGAGTGTTTAATAATAGGAGATTTCAATATAGATATATCGGTCGAGTCGTTTTATAAAAAAAAGGCTATTAACAGGAATGTCAAGTTTAGGTATGAAGCAGTATGTAAGAGAGCCGACGAGAATAACTCAGAATAGTCGAACGATTATAGATCTATTATTTGCGAATAAGAAAGTACAATTACAATTAGAGATGGAACCAAAGATAACTGACCATGCATGGATAATTGTGAGGCTAGGTATGACCAAAAAAGGAACTAAGTACAGAGAATTTACAACCCGAAATTATCGTAATATTGATGAGGCGGAATTTAACAAAATACTGCAAAATATAATGAAACCGCAATATGAATTAGGAGTAAAACAAAGAGCGGAGTTATTTATTGATAATATAGTATTAGCGCTGGATATGTTAGCACCTAAAAAGATGCATAAAGTTCCAAGCGTATGGGTCGGAAAAAAATGGTTCTCTGATGATGTGAGGATGGCGACAGGAAGAAGAGATGAGGCATATAGAAAAGCAGTGTGCGATAGAACGGAGATCAAATGGCAGGAATTTAAGACGGAAAGAAATTCAGTAGTCAAAATGTTAAGGAAAAGGAAGAGAGATTATTACGAAAACATGATAGATTGTAATAAGAGTGATCTGGTAAAAATGTGGAAACCTTAAAGGAAGTAATCTGGGGTGAACCAAAAGGCGCGAAGATAATAGAAAACATAGATTTTGAAATATTAGGAGGTCTAACGGGTAGTAATACGGCTGACAAATTTAATATGTATGATGTTCAAAGTATTAATAACATTGTAGAGTCAATAAAGAGTGATACTATAGGGAAGCCCGAATAGAAGGATTTTAGTGGGCGGTGGTGTAGAAAATGAAAGATGTCTGTTAAACTTCGAAAATGTAGAAATAGAAGAATTGGAGAAGGTAGTTAAGGAACTTCCGAAAAAAAAGGGAACGGAGGAGGGAATATCGAGTGGCCCATTGAAAGTGGCGTAGAGTACAATAAGGCAAGAATTTGCTAAAGTAATCAATGGATCCTTGAGGGAAGCGTGCTGCCCCCAGAGTTGGAAAATTTCCACTATCATACCGATTCCGAAAGTAGATAAAGCCAAAAAGGCTAGTGAGTTCAGGCCAATTAACATGTTACCACTGTACGAAAAAGTGATAGAATTAGTAGTAAAGAATCAATTTGAAGCATACTTAGGAAGAAACAATATTATAACAGAACATCAGTCGGGTTTCAGAAAGCAATACTCGTGTGAAACTGCGATTTAGACGGTTATAGATGAATGGAAAACCAGCATCAGCGAAGGACTTATAGTCGGGGTAATATTTATGGACTTAAAACGAGCTTTTGAGACTGTGGATAGGGAGATACTAATAGAGAAACTTTACCAATA